TTTTCGGTCGGATTTTGTTGTACAAAAATTATCCAATAAAATTTTTTTATTTTCGATCGCAAATTGAACTGCTTTAGATTGAAATTTAGTTCGAACTCCTTATATTGATATATATTTTTTCTTAAATGTCACGTAAACAGAAATCATCTAAATGAACAGGGCTAATGTGAATTTAAGTATTCCTTAATTTTGCTTTTAAACTGATTCTTTATAGTACAAGGTAGACTTACTCGCAAAACTCAACACTCTTTTAATATACATAGTTTAATTAGTATGATATATCCTATAATCTTTCCTCATCATACATTTTTTTTATACCCATTTACACTATTTTATTACTTCCATTTCTCGTTGCCATATTTAGAAAATATAACAAATATCGTTTACGAGTCATTATCAATCATCAGATCACGTTGTTTTATTTAATATACAGTACTCCTCTCGTTGTTTTAATACCATTTTTAGCATGTTAATATAGCGAATTTGGTTGATGACAATATATGAGCGATTTACTCTTCGGTCGTTACTTTTTTAGGCATGATTTGTTTTGGTATTATTAAGCACCCGTTTTTTGAATATAATGTTGCAAAAAATATTATAATTTGGTCAAAAATAATGCAGGCCGGGCGCTTTATTTTAAAGTTTAGTTAAAACTCTGAAAAGAAAATTGTACTAATTTGCTAATATACACTCACATGATTTAGATATCTATCATTCAAGGAAATACTATTAAAGCATAATTTTACAAATATTAAGCAATAATGTGCTCATGCATTCTTAATTGTCAATTAGTTCAACAATTATTTTCATTTCCATCATAGAACGAACATTCCAAAATTTTAAAAGATTGTCAATTACTGAAAATTTATCAAAACTTGAATTCAAGCCATTAATTACTATACCAAATATTGATGATAAAAATAAAATTTGTTTGGAAAAGACTTCAATTTGGTAAATCTAAAATGGGAACAATTATAAATTTTGATTCGATTCTGAAATAAAAAATCGCTTTAATTCTTACAGATTTCATTTGCTTTTACATTACTTTTGAACCTTTTAACATTTAATGAAAAAAATAGATATCAGCCGAATTATTTTTCATCAATTAATTTTGTGATCTACATGCACTATTTAAACTACCAATTTTAGATTTGCACCAATGAACTTATATTTACCATGTATATTCCGGTGAAACATTATCGATCAGCATTATGGTCGTACAAGTGTCGTACATCGGAGTTTTATATATTATGTACTATTTATTTTATCCTAATTAATATTTTTTATTTTTTTCTTTTTCGAAAAAAAATGTCCAAACTTAATAAAGACATTCTTTTCTTGATATTTGAGGAATTACAAGATAATTCAAAATTCCTCTTTTCATGCCTAATGGTTAATAGAATTTGGTGTGAAACAGTGGTTCCAATTTTATGGAGGAACCCCTGGCGCTATGCCATTAATTATTATAAAAAAAATTCTTTATACTCCATTATTACTTCTTATTTATCCAATGATATTAAAGAATCCTTAACAAAGAAAGGAGTTAAAATTACTGGTCAATCACTTGTATTTGATTATTTGACTTTCTGTAAGAGTATAAATATAAGAACTATAGATGCTATAATTTCTATTGGATCATCATCAGAATATAATCAATTTCTTTTACAAGAGGAAATTTACAGTTTATTGATAAAAAAATGTCCAGAAATAAAGTATTTAAATATATGTGATACATATGAGATTGTATACCTTCCGGAAGCAAAGGTCCGTCTTGAGTCACTTTGTGAATTAACATTTGACACGTTGATTGGTTCTAGTTACTTTTACAGACTAGCACATATTTGTCAACAAATACAAAGAATTATTATTATTAATAAAAACTTAAATGCTAATCATGGAACTGCTAAGTTAATTGAATTTCAAAATAATTTAAAATATTTTAAATGGATAGATGAATTTGTAGAAGATGATGATGATTTTGATTGGGAACAATTAGGAGATCCTTACACAGAAATTTTTAACTTGTTAAAAAAACATGCAAATACTCTTAATCATTTTGAAGTAAGCATTCAGTATGATCATGATGACCTCATTGTTTATGATTATTCATTTTTACAATATACACTCCTAGAACTTCATAATTTAAAAATATTAGAAATTAATTCTCATCTATTTTTAAATAATAATGATTTTAATGAAAAATTGGAAATGGTGGCTTATCGTGACCTTGAGATCCTGAAGATAGATTATGCAGATATTTATCAAGTTACTTGCATGGTTAAATATACTAGTTTATGTCTTAGAGAATTAAGGATCGATGATTTTGACTGGGATTATGATAATTATGATGATGTCACTCTTAATTTTTTTCGTACAATTTGTGAAAATTGTTTTTTAATTGAATATTTATCAATCCCTATGTTTTTTGAAAATCAATTTATTGAATTTGAAAAATTACTTAAAAAATGTCAAAAATTGCGATCATTAAATGTTAAAGACACATATTGTGATGAAGAGAGTGAGTTTATATATGGAGATTACTTGTTAAATACGTTAATTAGGGAAGCATCAACAAATCTAAGAGAAATTGGAATTCCTTATGACATTAAGCTTTCTTTAAAAACTTTAGAGACATTCTTTGAAAAATGGAAAGGACGACCTGCAGTTTCCATAAATTTAGGGGATATTAGTTTTTATCGAAAAAATAATTCATATATGAAATTGTTCGATAAATATAAAATTGAAGGAGTAATTAAAAATATAAACATGTAGATTATTCAACTACATTAATAAAAGACTACTGTTTGTTAACCATAGTATGGAATTTAGAAACATTAATTATATACTTATGTATTATGATTTATGAATTATGAGAGCAATTAGTAAAGATTTAAAATAATATCTCAGTTTCTGATTTTTGTAACTTCTATCTAATAAAATAATATATTTTTAATATCTAACTTACTTATTATAATTTTAAATTTCTATTTCTCTTAACTACTGTTTAACAATAAAATTTTTTCGAGTATGATATAAATCAATTTAAAGTTCTGCTTCATCTTCAGAAAACATCTATCTTAAGCATTATTATTAGTGTTTCGGGCGAAACCGAAACTAAATTTTTGGCGAAACTTCTGAAACTTGTCGAAACTAGTTTCGCCACCAGTGCAAAATTCCGAAACTAGCGAAACTTTCAAAACCTGGCGGAATTTCCGAAACCTGGCGAAACTTGCCCAAACTTCTGTAACTTCCTTAACTTGGCGAAACATGTTTTATTAATTTTTCTGTAATACATGACTGGTTTAACAAACAAAATAACAAAATTTATTTATAAATTGCAACTTTACAATTTAGAATATTACATAGTATTAATTGTTTCATCAGTTTCGGCAGCTGATCCCATTTAATATCATCATTTTCATTCATAATTTTTCTATACCATAATAACGCAATTCTTTTTTCGCATTTGCATAGTAATAGGCTGAAAGTTTATATATATTTTCAACTTTATTTAAGCCTAAACGGGTCCTTCTTTTGCCATATATCCAACCAAGACTTGACCATACTCGCTCGCATCCAGCTGCACGAGGTGTGGCGGAAAAAAGTTTATGTGCTAGTTATACATGATAATTTTGCACCTATTTAATTATATATAACTGATAATGATATCCATTTTAACGCTCAGAATATATTTGTCCTAATTAATTAATGCTATGTTACTAACCAAAAAAGCAGTTATCACGCGATGAACACAGTTGCCCTATAAAAAGTATTATACTTAAAATATATTTAAAATATATTTAAAATATACTTAATTTAAAAATTGCAAAATACTTAAAATATATATTTAATATATCTAAAATATACTTAAAATTATCTTAAAACATATGTTTAATATATTTAATTTTTGCCCATATACTTAAAATATATTTAAATTATATTTAAATTAAAATTTAAGTATATTATAAGACTATTATAAGTATATTTTTTATGTATTTAAAATATACTTAAAATATATTATAAAATATATTATAAGTATATTTTAAGTACGTAAAAAATATATCTATAATATACTTAAATTTTGATTTAAGTATAATTTAAGTATATTTTAAGTATTTTGGCAAAAATTAAATATATTAGAAATATATTTTAAGATAATTTTAAATACATTTTAAGTATATTATAAGTATTTCGCAATTTTTAAATTAAATATATTTTAAGTATAATTTAAATATATTTTAAAAAGTTTTTAATTATATTTTAAATATAAATACTTTTTATAGGGTTGCGGTCTCCTTAACATTTCTTGAAAGAATCCTTTAGCTGTATATTAGCTGTTTGCCAACAGCAGAAAAGAAGAACTACTTGGACTACAATTGGTCGGTGTTAAGCAAGCTAGATATATTGATCACATATTTGCAAGAAACTTTCCCTCAAATAAGCACAAGAAGATTTTGTTCATGTGTGTAATTTATAAGTTCTTGTTTTTTAAGAACGCCTCCAGTAGTCGACCTATACTATCAGTGACTTTATTTAAAAAAACTCGTCTATAGCGTGTTTCTTTCTATTTTTATTGTTATGACCCATCTCTAAAAAAAAAATTTTATTCAACGAATTATATAGATAATGATAAATTTTTATGAGAAGAATTCCTTTCTGTGAGTGACTAGTTGTCGATCATAATATATCACGTGATCTAATTTTATAAGAAATTAATTTTTTGTCCTATCTAAAAAAATTTAGAATTAGAAAATTAAATCTTGTAATTAAAAATTCAAAATTTAAAAAAATTTTAACGTTAAAAATTTATTAAATTTAGAAAAATTATGATTAGCGGTAAATTATTTAACCGAAAAGCAGATAATTGCTAAATTCGTTTGTTCATTTGTTACTTATAGTCACATGATAGTCATACAAACATTTGGTAATACATAAAACGGACAAAAAACTTCAATTTTTTTTTTTTTCGCAAGTTTAACATTTTATAAGAAAATTACATTATGTCAGCAGATATCCGATATGAATTAGTTTATGCTGCAATGAATAGAGCAAATTTATCAGCAGATTATAATATTTGTGATGATATACACAAACTACATGAATTTCAAAAACAAACTATACTTGCTGATAAATCTCTTACAAATAATGAAAAAACTTTTGCAATAAGAGAAATATGTAAGGTATATGACAATTATAAAATTAAACATAATTCAGGAACAAGAAGGGTTTGTGAAAATTGTAACCAAGAATGTTTAGCTACATTATATTGTGAATATTGTGTTCAAAATTATTTAAAAGCAAACTTTTCAAATTGGACATCTGGAAATAATGATATTGATAATTTAATACAAAAATGTCAAATTGAAACACTTAGACCGGATACTATAATTGAATGGATCCCATATAATAATTTTCAAAATATTGAATATTTAACAAAAGGTGGATTTTCTGAAATTTATACAGCAGTTTGGATTGATGGAAAATATGAAGACTGGGATTCTAAAAATCAAAAATTAATAAAATTAGGAGGAAAAAAAGTAATACTTAAAGGATTAGAAAATGTTGAAAATGCTAATCGAAGATGGTTTGAAGAGGTTTGTAATTTAATGTTATTTGACTATTACTTTCAAATTCTAGTAAATAATAGATTTTTTTTATATAGGCTGAATCACATTTAAAAATAAGTTATAAATGGCCACAAATCATTTCATGTTATGGTTTAACACAAAACCCATCAAATGGAAGTTATATGCTTGTAATGAATATTATGGATATAGATTTAAGAAAATATTTACAACGAACTCAAAACCAACTTTCATGGAAAAAAAAAATAAAAATTGCTTATGATATAATCATTGCACTAGGTGCTATTCATGGTGAAAATGCAATTCATAGAGATTTACATTCTGGAAATATATTGTTTTCACAACTATTTCAAGATTGTTATATTGGTGATCTTGGATTTTGTGGCCCTCCTGATAAAGCACAAGAAAGTGTATATGGTAATCTTCCTTATTTAGCACCAGAAGTTATTTCTGGAAAGAAAACTACAAAAAAATCTGATATTTATAGTATTGCAATGCTTATGTGGGAAATTTCATCTGGACAACCACCTTTTAGTAATTACGAAAATGATTATAATCTTGCATTAAAAATAATTAATGGAATGAGACCAAAAGTGATAGCAGGAACTCCTTTAAAATACAAAAATTTAATGGAACAATGTTGGGATGCTGATCCATCAAAAAGACTTGATGTTAATACACTTTTTAAAGAAATTCGTGAACTTCTGCAATCTTTTCAAAATATATCAAATGAAATATCTCAACAAGAAACAAATAACTTAGAGATGAATAAAATAAATGAATCAACAACAAATTGTAAAAGTAACAAGTTATTTACAAGCAAAATTTATCAATTTAAAAATTTACCTGAACCAAAAAATGCAACAGAAGGTATAATTTTAATATTTATTATATTAATTTGACAGTTAATAGTTTTCTTTAATAATATATTGATATTGATTTTTAATTTAAATAATTATAGAAGAGCAAAAAAGTAAAATTATTATAACGTTTGTTTTATATAAATTGATATATTTACTATATAACTTTTAATGATTTATTATTTTTAATAGCATTTCATAGTAATAACTCATATGACCACTTTAATATTCCTGATAATAGTGAGTATTTATAATATACTAATAATTAATAAATATAATATATTTATTAATCCATCCTTTTATTTTTAGTTAATGATTTTAATAGTTCAAGTAATCAAAGTTATGATAGCATATCCAAAGCAAGTAGTATTTTAAAAGGTAATTAATTATTAATTATTTAACTTTTATTTTTTTTTATGAGCTTATAACCATTTAGTATTTTTAGTTGTGACAATTAATTATAATTATTAATGTGTCTTTGAATAATTTTAGATGATAATGAAGAATTATCCAAATCATTTAATGAATTACAAATAAATTCAAATGACGGTAAATAAATCATTCTATTTTGATTATAATTTTATGCCTTGAAATATAACATATTTTATATTTTTTATAGATAATCAAACTAATTATGTAAAAGAAATAGTAGAACAACAACAAATAAAGAATATCAATATTGATGGTATGTATAGATAATGATAATTGATTCTATTAAATTATTATTATTATATAATTCTATTTTTTTTTTCTTTACAGACGAGGATGAAATCTATGATGATAAAAATTTTCATTCAGAGGAACAAGATGAATTAGAAATTCCAGATGGCAAGTGTTTTTATATTATTATATGTGCTTTATATACTTGTAAGAAAAATATGTTTATATTTAACTAATTTTATTTATTAATTAATTTATTTATTTAGAAGGATTTTAAATTACTTAGTAACTGACAGAATATATTTTGTTTACTTACATTTCTTTTATTTTGAATTATTTAAACACTAAGTATAGAGTAGGTAAAATTTTTACAAGATTCTTAGTTTGTAATTTAAATAATTCATTATTTTTATTATTGTTGTCATAACTTATTTATTAAATAAATATATATTTTAACTTTTGTGATAATATAAAATTTTTGACTTACTACAAATTATTTTGTGTATGGAGTGGAAAGTTTAATAGTAATTTAATGTATTTACAATTAATAAGTCAGGTCAAAATCACGACTAAAATTTTTATATTTAAGCCAAAATTGGTATGATTTGTTCGATGAATTTTGTCCATTTACATTAAAAGAACGTAATAAAATTATCCCTTTCAATAATAAAGTAAAACGGAAGAACTAAATTTATAAAAATATTCTCACTAGTATATCAATTAATCACGTCCCGAACAAATTTCGATCAAATTTTAATGCAGGAACGAAACCATAATAATGCAGACTAAAATTACAATTCCAATCACGTGATATTATCATTAACGATCACGAATATTTTAACGAAATATGAAAATTTATTATAATTAATTATGGATATATTTGATTCTAATTTACTAATAGATTTTTTTTATTCATATATTAAAATTACATACATAATTATCTTAGGAATTACAATGGCTAAAATATAAACTCTAACCTAATTCACTATTCAGGTGGGAATGCCAATAACATTAATTATTCAGTTACACTATAAGACTCAGAATTAGGGATAGTCCAGTTCATAAAAAAAAGAGCGTTAATAACGTTCTCAGATAAAAAAAAGACGCGAAAATAACAAAAGTCAAGGAACTCTCATCTTCCCTACTTGCGATTTCAAAATTTTTACCATTTACATAAAGCTCCAGAAAGACGAAAATGCTTTTGTTGTATCGTTCAAATTGTAAATTTGAGGATTGTTATTGATATATTGAGCTCTTAAATTAAAGTTATGTTTATTATTTACTTTTTGGAAGTATTTTGTTGCATTGAAAAAGAAGTTAAAAGATGAATAAAGCTGTACTGGAATTACTGGAATAAAGTATTTTAAATTAGAAACAGAAATTGTTAGTGTGTCCAAAAAAATGAACTTCTAAAATAGTAACGCGTGACATAAAAGATTGGTAATGCAATATGTACGTAGACTATTTTACGAGAGAACCATATATAAGAAAATCACCTGATCTAATGTTCTTGGCGCAATAATTCATTAATTTCCATAATTTATTGTTACTTTTATTTGAAGATAAAACAGGTTAAAGTAAGTTATGTTGGTCATCACTCAGTTGTGACGAGAAATTTCTTAATATAGAAATTCATATTATTATTTGATTATCAGTCAAGATATAAATATTAATTAAATTTTCAAAAACTATTATATATACACTGTTGTCGTTGATTAAGAATTTTTTCATGGGATTTATTTAACATTTTTTGTAATAAGTGTCTGATAATATTTAAAAAGCTTTAAGTACGTGTGAACAACAAATAATTAATCAGGAATTTGGACTATGCTCTGATTGTAATCAACTAAAAACTCTGTCAAATTGGTAATTCTAAACAATTTCAAAAGATTTTAATAAATGGACTAGTGGAAATGAACATATAGATGAATTTATACAAGACGTACAATTAAAAGCGAGAAATCGAAGAGAAGTTATAGAATGGATTCCTTATAATCGTTTGAGAAATATACAATATCTTGCTCAAGGTGGATTTAGAAGGCTATTTTGTTAAATGGATTTATCAAAAATATTGGATAATAAAAAACAACAAGGGAAAAGAAACTTAAGAATGAAGACTATGAGAATGCAAAACAATTAAATATTAAATCTCCTCTTAGCGAAAATGACAAATATGGATGGCATTTTGTTTAAAAAGTTAAAATAATTTCTCAATTATTAATTATAATTTTTTAAATGAGGTAAATAATTTATATTTATTCTAATTTATTTATTAATAAATGTAATTTAACTGATTTTTTAGTGGAAAATTATTTAGATTTTGTACGTTCATCTAAAAGTAATATAATCTTATTCAATTAAATTGTATGGAATATATTATCGTAATAGAATATATAAAACTTGGTGATTTAAGATCAAATTTAGCAATTAAAAAAATATAATCCATATGATAAATATAGTAATTTATGAGAAATAGCAAAATTAATTCAGCATTATATAAATGTAATCTGTTTCATGTGATTTTCATAGTGGTAATTTACTATTACAAAATCAGACATGGACTTTTATAAGTGATTTAGGATTAGTCAACCAGCAGATAAACCTATTAAATCAGATGAGGTTTATGGGTACTTCCTTAGATTACTCCAGAAGTATTGCGTGGCAAACCATACACTAAAGCCGCTCACATATATTCTTTTAGTATTATAATGTGGGAAATGAATTCTGGAATCCCCGCTCTTAGTAATGTGCCTCATGATCTTAATCTTGCTTTAAATATTTGCCAAGGTTGAGACCAAGAATTGTTGAGTCACCAAGATTTATGATGATGCCAAGGTCCAAAACAATATGAAGACTTGGAGGTTGAATATTTAAAATTAATGAAAAGGTGTTGGGATCCTGATCCTAGCAAAACAACAACAGCTGAAGAACTATATGAAAATTTTGATGGATGGCACGATAAATTATTAATTATTACTAATAATGTTAATAGTATTAGTATTGATGAGAGAATACCTACCATCTACAACTGGTAAATAGTAAATTTAGTAAAATTTGGTTTGATTAAAGTTTGCATACTTTTATTTTAAAGAAATTCTACAGTGAATGAGCCAGAATCACGTTGCAAATATTTTTATGTATACACTTTTAGAGATGATCTGCATCAAATTTTTCTGCGGGGATACGACTATACTAATTTTTCCATTGATTCTCCTGATCAACATCTGGAATTTTTTGTTTGTAACAAATCATCCGGACCCATGTCTTCCGTAAGATAATTACACATCATATTCAAGGGATGAAAATTAGTATAGCCCGGTGATACTGGGTGATGCGTGCAGATCTTTAGGATCGACGCTTGAATGAAAAATGACAAGTAATCATACGAGATGAAATTATCCAATTGTTTTCGATAAAATAAAATAAAATAAAGAAGATCGACACTTGAATGAATAATGACAAGTCATCATATCATCATACGAGATGAAATTATCCAATTATTTTCGATAAAATAAAAATAAAGAAATAATTATATAATAAGTGTTTCTATAACTATTTTCTCAATGGATACAGTAATGACGCAAACTCTTCGAATCAACAAATATAAATATGAGAGTAATATGACTCAAATAAAGGTATTTTTTATATTGGGATTTTTTAATAAATACAATAATCATTAATCAACTAATCAAATTATGAGTTTCGTATCAATTGCATTAACTCTGAATTCAAAAACAAAAATAGAGTGGATTCCATTTCCTCAAATAATAAATTTAGAAGAAATAGCCGAAGGTAAATTTATAGAATTAACCTTTTAGCTACAAATAATTACTAATTATAGTCACTTTAAAAAAAATTCTTAGGAGGATTTGGTATAGTATATCAAGCTATTTGGAGAAATAAAAAGGTCGCTGTAAAGAAGTTCGCAAGATCTGAAAATTCAAATACATACTTTTTAAATGAAGTATATAAATGTTTCTTACCTAAAATGTTTTTGTCATAATAACTAATTAAATACTCAGTAATTTATTATAAATTATTAGTTAAGAACGCATTGCAAATGTTGTGATTGTGGGTGCATAAATAAATGTTACGGGATCACGAAAGATCCAACAACTGAAGAATACATGTTAGTACTGCAGTTCGCTGATGGAGGAAATTTACATGAATACTTAAAAAATAATTTTTCCAACATTACATGGAAGGAAAAGCTTAACATTTTACAACAAATATCAATGGGGTAAGTACAAAATATATTTGACTTAGCCTAAACCAAGTTTAATGAATTAATTTGCTAATCCAAAATTTATTAATTTGTTATAAATACCTAATACAAAATTAGAAAAATTAATTTTATTTTGTTTTATTTTAGGCTTAGAAACATTCATAAAATAGATTTTACGCATCGAGATTTACATAGTGGAAATATATTACATTTCGAATCAAATCTTTATAAAAGTTTTCAAGTTGCAGATTTGGGATTGGCACAATCGGAAAATATCTCTAATAATGAAATAAATGGTGTAATACCTTATATGGCTCCAGAAATATTTATAGGTTCAAAATTTTCAAAGGCATCTGACGTATACAGTATGGGGATGATTATGTGGGAAATTACAACAGGATGTAAACCTTTTTCTAATGTCGAACATGATTATAAGCTTATTTATGAGATTATTGATGGGAAACGACCTAAAATTACAGAGGATACCCCTGAATGCATTGCAGGTTTAATGATAAGATGTTGGGATTCTGACCCAGGAAAAAGGCCTTCTATGGATGAAATACATAAACTTTTATCTAAAATGAAAAATGAAGAGTTTAATGGGGCCGATCAGAAAAGATTAGAATTAATTGGTTTAAAAAAACTTGGACCTGAATATAACGAAAAACCTCATTCAAAAGCAATTTATACTAGTAGATCATTAAGTTCATATTCTAATAAGTTTATATCATTAACGAAACAAGATAGACAAGGTATAAATTATAAAATTTAAAATTTAAATAGTTAATTTATTATTGACTTTTGATTTCAATTTTTTAGGATACATTACAAGAGAATACGAGTTTGACATATAAACTTTATTATTGTTGTCCGGAGCGAAGCGAAGGACAAAATATATGTCTACGCACTATGAAAAAAAAATCGATCACGTGAATTTCTCTGTCCGCCATGTGATCGTTACCCAATGAAATCACAAATTTTAATTTTTCGCTCCGGACTTACAACGGTTCCCGTTTCCTAGTAATATTCGAAACTTCACGTAAATTTTGTGTGACATATAAAGGTAACAAATAGATAAAAAATTCTGTAATAATGTATAAATCTTGTGAGAAATGAGAATTTAGCTCTAAGAAAATTTACTAAAAGATAAGATAACTCTGCCAAATTATTTAATGCTAGCCTGAATTAGGTTTATATAAACATTTAACCAATTAATGTTTTTTAAAATGTCATTTTTAAATAATTTAACATTTAAATATACTTTTATTACCATCGAAATAAATTTGTATTTCATTTTCGAAATTTAGTTCAGAAAGATAATCCTTAATAATTCTAGTACATATTTTTAGCAAAGTAGATTAAATGATATCTATTATTACGATAATTATATATGTAGGAATGTAGGATACTTTGTATTTAATTAAACATTTACTAGTAAGATTATAGTTTATTCTATTTCCACATTTTTTTAGAGCATCTAGAATTAAACTAACTTCATAATTTAATTTTTAATAAGCTTTTATTCATATAAACCATCTTAAGAGTTAACACTTTAAAAAAAAAGGTTATAATAGTTTTTTTAAAAAAATTACTTGATAAAAAAATGATCGAATCAAAGGATAATTACTGGACAATATTGATATTTACAAGCTGGATTGGTAATAATAGAATATAAAAACCAAACATTCAGAATTTTTAAATTTGTGTGGTAAAAATAATAATCCTACAATCAAATATTTAGTTTTTACTTATTTCAGTTATTTGCTTATTTTCTCTTTTTTATTAATTTTCACAACATTACGTTCCCAAAGAAGTTATTATTGTAATTTGTAATTGCTGATTTTGTTCCCGTTTTCATGATTGTTAATTATGATTAATAATTTTATTTGGTAATTTTTATAGCGAAGAAAGATCTACATGATATTTATTTATTTTTATTTCTCATAGAAATTCGATGAATGACACGAATTTACAATAATAGACGCTAAAATTTTTTATTATTCGGAAGTTATGAATATGACCGAAGCATTAGGATAAATAATTTATGAATCATAATCTTTTATAAGCGCACAACTCAATGGATTATTATCAATATTTTTTAAAACATATCTTTAAACAAATACATGCAAAAAATTCTTTCAATCAAATGACGAGAATTGTACTGTATAATGATTGACAATTTATTATAATTATTTGATAAAAAATGATCAGATTAATGGCGGCTTATATTGTTGCTGACTTAGCCAAGTCTTTAAAAAGCTTGTTGTCACCTGATCACCAACGTTGAGGTGCAGCAACATTGATCAGGACCTCGAAAAAAAGGGGTAAGGGAAAAGAGCGAGGGGAAACAAAACATACGCCACACGCCACCCACACCACCACCACACAGCCTCCCACATACACCACACACACACCCACGCACACACACCACACACACACACACACCCACACCACCACACCACCACACCACACACACACCCACCCACACCACCACACCACAAAGAACGAGGGAAAGGTAAAGGTATTTATATATATATTTTTTTTTTGAGATGTACGTGAATGAAATTGATTAGTCATGAGTCATAAGTTATGACTAATATTATAACATGCCACAACTCCTTAATTGTCATACTGATTTTTGGATTCAATTATTACAATTTCCTATTTAATAAATGAATGTAACATTTATATATTCTTTATCAATCGTAAGTCATGAATCAACATATGAGTATTAAAAATTGCGTAAATTTACACAAAAGATGACTCATGATTATAATTGATCATATGATCAATTAATTTATATACTTTATAAATACCATATTATAAACTTGTGTCTATATTAATTTAAGATAATGAAATAATTTTGAGAAACGGCGTGATACGTGATTTACATCAGCCAACCTAAAATTATTGGCCAATTTTTATGGTACTTTTAAAGGAAGCGACAAATAATATTTGAAAATGGGGTGACAAATTATATGAAGTCACGTGAAATCTTTACGCATGTAAAGAAAAACTATACCACCTTTTCATTTGACAAATATACGCACGTCATAATACTGTAAACGACTATTTATCTTTTTTGTTTTATTTTTCATGAAAATTCGATGAATGTCGTCACGCTTAAATTTTGATATTATTCGGAGGTTATGAATATGACTTATCCGGATAGAAACCGTTATCCAGATAAATTATCCGGAAAAAAATTATCCAGGTTGGTCACGGTCGCACGGATCGAAACATCGAAACACTCACGAAAGGATAAATAACATATGATCTTTTATAATAAAAACGCATAACTTATGGATTCTTATTATCAATATTTCTTAAAATATACCGTAAAATAAACACATACAAAAAATTTTCGCAAATAAAAGTGGATTCCATTTTCTCAAAATAATATTTACACAACCGTTTTATTTCTCCAAATGATGCCGTAAAGTTATTTCTTTTAAAGAAATTTTCAAACTCAAAGGATTTTTTTAATTAAGGTGTGTACAGCTGTAATTATTTTTATTGTAAATTTATTATTAAACTAAAAAACGGAAAACTGTTGTAGAGTCCGGAGTGCAAATATTTCACAAACATTCTTCGCACGTGATCTAATTAATGATTACTATGCGCAATAATATATATATTCCCTTCGTTACACTCCGGACAAAACATTATTGCACATAGTATCTTCCGCTTCAAAGATCCAGTATTTTATTAGATATTTACGCTTAATTCTGTATATAATACACAGGTTTCTTACAAGATATAGATTTTTTGTATGAATTGGGATATTTAACTATTTTATTTTATACGGTGGTAGACGGTATTTATACAATTCCGTTCGGAAAGGTGAAATTCATTTACCAGTATAGAATTGATTTTTCGAAATTTTAGCCTATTTGTTCACCTTTACCTCGTAATCTTATATATTTTCTTTAATCTATTTGTTTTAGTTATTTGCTCTGTTTTTCTTTTTGTCCTTTTGTCCGGAGCGAAGCGGAGGACATTTTACTTTTTACGAATTATTGACTGTCAATCATTGTCACACTGTCCCTCCGTATGGATTAATTGATATCATAACAAGTAAATGTTATACAAATTAGTACATATTATATATTTATGCGCCTTTTGTAACTTCAGCCTTTTTAACATAAGTCTTTATATAGTTGCCGTTTAGATGCACATTGGTACCATAAAATAAATCACGCAATAATGTATGCAAGTATCGGACGATTTTTATTTTTTTGATCAACATCATACGAGATGAAACATCCAATTATTTTTGATAGAATGAAATAGAATAAAATGGAATCTAAGAAAAAAAATCATACTAATTTATTCTTTGGAAAATGTACAAAGGAGTACTTTCAACATGAATGATAAAAATTTGATGAAACTCCGTACAACTCTTCGGATTAAACGCTTCGAAATATTTGGAAATTACCCATAAAACGTTAGATAAAGATTATATGATCTTTATAATTATAAATATAAGTCATGGATATTTCTTAAAATATAAAATAAACACAAATAAAAATATTAATTAAAATGATAAGAATTATTTTAATTGTGATTTTGATTTATTATTTTATTAAAACATTTTTTTATTCAAAAACACAAATAAAATGGATCTCATTTTCTCGAATAACATATTTAAAAGAAATAGCAAGAGGCAATTTTGGCATTATATACCAAGCTATTTGGGAAGATAAGCCGGTTGCTATAAAGAAATTCTCGAACCCAAAATATTTTGATAAATATTTTTTGAATGTACTGCCGATGCAATTTTTTTTCTCTAAGTTTTTTTTAGTAATTTCTTGAAAATTTATAATAATTATTAAAATTATTAGTTAAGATCACATTGTAAGTGCTGTGGCTGCGGATGTATTAATAGGTGCTACGGTATTACTATGGATCCTGAAACCAAAGAATATATGTTAGTGCTACAGTATGCAAAAGGAGGAAATTTACATGAATATTTACAGACTAATTTTGTCAATATTACATGGAAGGAAAAGATTGAAATCTTTTATCAAATATCAATGGGGTAAATATATGCATTAAAAATAAACCAGTTTATTAACCTAGACAACCATTAAACATAATTTGAGCCAGTACAACATTAATCCTTTCGTCAGAATTAAGTTTTTTTATTTTAAATTTAATACTCTCTGGCCAAATATTTAATCCTGGACTAAACTATAGCCCTGTTCAATTCTTGAATTGACCGAAAAAATGTATAACCAATTAGATCATAGTTACAATTGAGCACAGTACTTTGATTGATCGTTATTCTTAATATGTTATAGGGCAAAAACACGCAGACGTGTTGTTTATTTATAAATCAATCTGAATGAACACCAATTTTTATAGATATATTTGACTGATCGCTGACCGAATCAGCAACCAATTATCTAAGGGTGCAAATTTATGATAGAATTGAACAGGGCTTATGTTTTAATGAATTATTAATGTTATTTTGATTTGATCCAAAGCTTTTATTTTAAGTAATTCACATCGTATATTTATATCAAATTAAATTATTTAAATTTATCTATTTTAGAGTTAAAAGAATTCACGACGTAAATTTTACACATCGAGATTTACATAGTGGAAATATACTGCATCTTGAACCGAATCTTAAAAAAAGGTTTCAAATTGCAGATTTAGGATTGGCACAACCCGAAAATATCCCTAGTGATCAAAAATACGGTGTATTGCCTTATATGGCTCCAGAATTAGTTAATGGTCTCGAATTTTCAAAGGCATCTGATGTATATAGCATGGGGATGATTATGTGGGAAATTACAACAGGACGTAAACCTTTTGCCGATGTTAAACATCCACATTGTATCATTTTTAAAATTCTTGATGGAGGTCGACCTAAAATTACAGAGGACACACCTGAGTGTGTTAAAAAATTAATGGAAAGATGTTGGGACCCTGATCCAGGAAGAAGACCTTCTATGGATGAAATACACGAAACTTTATCAGACATTAGAAATGAAGAATTTAATAAAGCCGATCAGAAAAGATTAGAATTAATTGAATTAAAAAAACTTGGTCCTGAAAAACCTCATCCAAAAGCATTTTATATGAGGAGATCATTAAGTTTATATTCTAACGGATTATCTTTGATAGAACAAGGTAACGAAGGTATGTAATAAATTTTATGTATTTGTTATTTTATTATTTATTAACTTTAATCTCCAACTTTTAGAATATGTTACAAGGGAGTATGAGCTTGATATAAACAATATAACGTAATAATAAATTACAACGCAGGCTACTTACCTGATGCGTCATAACTTATAAGTCAAATGAATTGGGCTCTGCAGCGGCACATTTATGTAAGTTCATATAACCGGTATATTCAAACCATCTTTAGGTATTTAAATTCAATACTTAATTTTCATTGAACAGAAAAAGTCAACCGCTGAAGCTCACGATAAATAAATATTTTATCGCATTTTTTCTAAGCATTTAACCAACACATTTTTATTTGTACATTTTAATTATTTTTTTTTATTATTACTTTTGTATATTGTTAATTATTCGTTTTATAATTTTTTGTACAGCTAATTATTAACTTTATTTAATAAAGAATTTAAACTACGATGCAAATGTATAAAATCAATACGGTTTCCTGAAATTGGTTGTTGGACTCGGCGAGTCAACTCGAGTTAAATTTTTTTTTTTCGAAGTATTAAACTGACTGCGGTTCGGAAAATATTTATCTTTTTGCTTTTTTATCGATAAAAATAATAAATTATGGAAATATTCTGAAAATTTATTTATCCAAATTTACATTCATTATGGAAGAATTAAAAAAAACATATTCGAATATGTTAAATTCTGTTCATGACGTTATATTACAATGTTTTTAGAGTTGAAATTTGTGTTAGTTAGATAACCATATTAATATGATAATAACTATATTATGCATTGGTTCACTGTATCCTGTATCCTGTAAAAAAGTTTTACACCGTGTGGCTGCGCATAATATTTTGATTTTCAAAAAACGCCTAAAGACGTTAAAGGTTACACACGATACACACGACAAACAAATGTTCCCGAAGTCCGATTACGCATCCATCATATGATCGTCACATTTGCTAGCGTTATTTATATGGCATTTATCCTATTTTATGCGATTTACATTTTACAGTGCGTTAAAAAAAACAAAATATTTAGTCACGTAAAAAGTGAAAATGGATAAATAAACTAGAATAAATGGATTCCTAAATTTCGTAAAGATTGTCTTGATGATGAAAAATAGAAAATTCTTTTATAGATAAATCAACTTGTGGAATAACTAAAATCAAAAAATACACAAGGTTTGATATTTATAGTAACCTTTAAAAATAAATATTGACAATTTCTTAAAAAAAAAAATTTGTAATATACATATATATATATATTTATGACAAAAAAAAAAAAATTATATTAATTATCTATTTTATATCATGATGATATTAAAATTTTTGACAAAAATTTCAGTTATTATATTTTTTCTTCAAACTTTATTAATATCAATAATAACAGCTCAGGATGTAACAAAAAATCTTTATGATAATATAGTGGCGGATGGACCACAATTATTAGCTTTAGGTGCAGTTTTAAATACTATACCAAAATTCGTTACGACATTAAAATCAGTTGGTCCATACACATTCTTTGCTCCTAGTAACAATGCATTCGAAAGTATAAATGCGACACCAGATGAAATTGAACAAATTTTAAACTATCATTTAATACCCGGAAAATTTCTTTTAAAAGACTTCCCTTCGATATCATATCCAAAATCTATGTTTGTCATGGCACCACCGGCTACAGGAGCTAAAGAGGCAAAAGGAGCTAATGTGGGTACAGGCCAACCTATAGTTGTAGAGAAATTGCCTGCTGGTGGAATAGGAATTAGGAGTGGGTTGACATCTGCTAATGTGTTAGTGGTTGATCAAGTTGCGAGTAATGGTGTCATTCATATCGTAGACAAAAGTAAGGAATTTTATTTATCTTTTTTTTTTTCTTAGTTGTTTTTACTTTAAAAATTAACGATCCCTTCTTTCGTATTATGTAGTCTTGGAGCTTCCAAAGACACCAATGCAAACACTGTTACAAAGTGATCGGTTTAAATCAATGGCTAAAATTCTTCAAAGTGAAAATTATGGTAATTTAGCTGATGAAATAGCAAAAGTCAATGATGTAGGCGTAACAATATTGGCTCTAACAGATGAAGTCATTTTTAATAGCGCTCCAAAGGAAATTGCAAAGAATTTAAGCCTTATTAATCCCATATTTTCTTATCATATCATACCAAAACAAATAATTTATTCCGGTTCTGTTGAAAATGTTGTAACGGCAAAAACTTTAAAAGATGAAATAATTACATTTACGAGAGATAATGGTGAATTATACGTTGGAAATGCTATCACAAAAGCTAAAATTATTCAAGCGGATTTAATAACTTACAATGGTGTATTACATGTTATTAATAATGTTCTCATACCACCAAATATTCAAATAACGCCTGAGGGAAATCCTACAGTTCCTTTACCATCACCATCACCTTCTGTTATTTCAACCAAACCTCCTTCAAGTCCTTCTGAAAGTCCTAAACCTATTCCTGTCGAAAATTCTTCGTCTAATGTTGGGATTATAGTAGCTTCTGCTTTAGGTGGAATTGTCGGTGGTGGTCTCATCATGATTGGTGGATTTTTCTTAATATATAAAAAATATATCAAAAAAGCTAAAAATAATCAAGGATTATTTCCTTATACTCTCGGTCATAATAACATTAATAGTCAACCATCTCATTATTCCAATTATTCTAATTATTCTCATACAAATTCTAATGATAATTATTCTGTTCCAACTACGAATCGAGACATTCGCTCATTATATATTGGTAGTGAATAATTAAAAGTTGTATATGACGTATTCTCTGAGGAAAAAAAAAATATCAAAATTTTTTTTCATTAAAAAAAAATGTAGATTATTATTTTCTAATAATATCTTATTTATAAATATTTATTTATAAAATTGTAAAAAAAATTGTAATTAAAACATAAACAATAAAAATATGATTATTTTCATTAACCGAACGAATTTAATTAATTTAAACTTCAGCAATAATATTTTTTGTTACCGTATTTCTCGTATTTCTAAAGGTTTATTATATAAATATCAAAAGCATAACGATCATTAATTAATTTATTTTTTTTTTCTGAAAACTATGTAAAGACGCATTTTTTTTTATTTATTTAATAATCAATAGGAATAAATACAAATCAAAAAAGAATGAAATAAAATCATTAATTTATAGAAGTAAATTGCGAAAATAATACAAGTAAATATCAATCTTACACAATTTGAAATACTTCATATTCTTCTATACATGAATTATTGATTTCTTTGAAATCTTTTTCATAGGAACTTTTTATACATCCAATTTTTAATTCATTATGTATATTTATGTATAAATACAAGTCATTATTAAATGATGGACCGCAATAACATCCATTGTATATAGCTTTCGTTTCCTCCTTTACACGACTTAAAATGTAATTTCTAATATTATTATTACCAAAAGAGAATATAAAACTATCTTTAGTATTTCCAAAGGTACCATAGTTACCATTAAATTTCCATTCAATCGGATTATATCCTCCAAGAATTTCATTACTGTCTTTCACTTTAATAACTGTTATGGTGCGAGATCGATTATTGCAAATCTCTCGGAATTTATTAAAGCTATTATTCCGCTCATCACGAGAATAGCGATATAACAATTTAAACTCGTATAAGGTCGTTAATTTGTCTGTAATTTCTAACCTATCAATCCATTTTGAAATTAATTCAGCATGTTGAAATGTAATTATTTTAGAACCAATATTTTTTGAATGAACTTTATTTTCTTTAGTTATACGAAGTACTGACTTTTTGCTATCATTATCCAAAAAATATTCTAACAAATTATTATATAATTCCTTTGGTAAAATTTTTTTATAAGGTTTTACTTTTTTCAAAAATTCTTTTGAAGCTACATTATGGAATCTAATAAATGGAATACATTGTTGTACAGTATTCTTTAAAGTATTGAAATCGTCTTTTGAAAAGCTTGTAGGGTCAGAAGAAAGTTCTGGATTCCGTGCAAGTCCCCATTTAATTACATATTCCCAAACTTGAATTTCTTCTATTTGAAGATTATCATTTTGAATAAGCGTGATCAAAAGTTTCTCTGGAATTGAAGAGTAATTTGGAGAATTGAATATTTTGCTTGGTTCTTTAGAAATTAAATCTTTGCAATATTTTTGAAGTTTTAAGAAAGCATCATTTTCAAAACTTATTTGATATATCAAATCAAAATGTTGTTCCATCCAATTCGCTTTATTAAGCAAAAAGGATTCTAAATAGGGTATTAATTCTTGAAGATTTAGTTCATTAGCAGCAACTAAGACTTTTACAATATCCAAGATATCATATTCCTCCAAAGAAATTTTTCCGCCATAAATATACCTATTAAAGTAAGAGATAATAAGTTATAAATGTACTTTTTAAAAATAAAATTTGAATATTAAAATCTAATATTTTATACCTCAATACTATTTGAAAAATTTCGGGTAAAATATTTGGTAACTTAATATTCGTCAAAGTTTCATCATTTTTCTTTTTATTAGTTGACAAAATTCTACGAAAATATGATGAACGATAATTTAGAATAACCATATGAGCACGGAATACTTTTACGTAAGGGTCACTACCAACTTCAATTGTAATATCATAATATTCTTCATCGTTTAAAATTTCAAGTAAATTTTGTGATAATTTTGGTAAAAGTTTATTATCAATNATATCATAATATTCTTCATCGTTTAAAATTTCAAGTAAATTTTGTGATAATTTTGGTAAAAGTTTATTATCAATCATTATAATTCTGTAGATAAAAAAAAAAAAGAAAAAAAAAATTTCAAGGAAATGAGAAAAAAAGTCCAAAAAAGTCTTAGTTTTAAAACCTTATTTAAATGCGAGTATCATTTCACGTGACTTCATGTGTCACATTTTTTTCATCTGCTACGCCATCAACTTCAGAGTTTCATAAAGAAATAATTATGTTTCAACTTTACTCTCGTGAATCTATAAAGTTTATACTCGAGTTTTATTAATGCTTTGGTAAAATTTGTGAAACTTAGAAATTCATTATATATCTTGTTATGATAATAACAGAATATCCTGGTAAAATTTTGCGTTAGCGTTAATTGGTTTTATTTTTTGTAGTGCATGATATCAACTATTCACAATAAAATAACAATGAGAAATACCGTATAATGTCTTTCTTGTTTAGAAAAGACAATAAGAGTATGATTTTTTTTTTGTATTTTTTTTTCTTTGGTTACGACTACAAATTATCACACACCAAAAATTTATTATTTTTAAAGTTCATTATAACACCAAAAGAAGCATACCGAAAGACCTATACAATAAATTTTAAATTAAATTAGAAATAATATTTATATATCTTTTTATTTACTTTAGTATCATCAAATACCATGGATTCTTGGTTCATTAACACTCCTTTATGTCATATGAAGCCTGGCAAACAACACCATTTGATATTAATGTTGAAAGTGCTCATGCGATGATCAATCGAACTGGAAAATCACTGAAATTAATAACAGCAATTTTAAAGTTTTATTGCAAATAACTCAATTTTGCAGTCCCGTTATCAATTTTGCCTGGGAAAGTCTTTCTAGAACGTATTTTACTTATTATCCGGAGCGTAACGAAGGACATTCTTTGTTATGCACTAAACGATTTGATAGTTAATCAACGTAATATTCCTTTCCTTTTTTGATTATATACTTCCTTTTTTTTATCACTGATAATTTACTATTTGTCCGAAACGAAGGACTACAGTATATAATTTCTATCCTAAAATGACCGTTTGTCCGGTTATGCGAAAAAAATTACTCATCATAAGTATATTATTTAAATAATATAAATATGTCAGTTTTCTTTATCTTTTTTTTTCTTTGTCTTCTTTTTTTTTAAGTCTTTATCTTCTTTTTTTTGGTCTGTTTTTTCTCTGTCTAGGTCTTCTCTTTATTCTTAGGTCCTTTTCTTTATGTCTCCTTTTAGGTATGTGAGTTGTTGTGTGTAGGTTTATGTGTGGGATTGTGTGTGGGCGGTGTGTGTTCGTGTATTTCCTTGCTCTTGTATGTATGTTTGTGTATTTTCTTGCTCTTTCCCTTTCGTTTTCCCTTTCCCTTTCGTTTACCCTTTCCCTTTCAGTTTTGTTCCCTTTCTCTTCCATTTCCATTTTCCACTTTCCCTTCGTTTCCCTTTCCCTTTCGTTTCCACTTTCCTTTCGTCTTCCCTTTCCTTTTCGTCTTCCTTTCCCTTTCGTCTTCCCCTTTCCCTTTCACTTTCCCCCTGATCAATGTTGTTGCACCTCAACGTGGTGATCAGGTGACAACAAATTTTTAAAGTCTTGGCTAAGTCAGCAACAAATAATAATTACATGTTTTGAATTATTGTGCAAAGTTTTTCCGTAATAACATTCTTAGGACTAGCACGTTAGAGAAATTTTAACACTCAATTTTAAACAATGATTTTCTATATGTTTTAAAGAATCTTCAATAATATTCCTTTCTTTTATAGCACTGATAATTTGTTGTTTTCCGTAATCAATTTTTTTTGTTTGTTGTAATTAAAAAAGATCCTAAGTAAAATAAACGCGAAGGACTTTAACAGTTACCGTTTTCCTACTAATTAATATTTTAATAAATAACGTCTATAATATTAATTCTCTTAATTCTTTTAATTATTAAAAAATTTCATATTAGTTTATTTTATTAATTTATTTAAAGTTTATTCAATTTAAACAAATTAAAGAAATTAAGCTAACTTTTATGATATTTAAAATAATTCATACTTGAAACGATTATTTATTTGTTTATTAAAAACTGTTTGGCAACCAAGATTTTTTATTTAATAATCTATGGGAATCAATACAAATAAAATAAAATATGAAAATGAAAATAAAACCACTATTATACGAATAGTTTAAAAATAATATAAATCTTTAGGTTAAACATCAATTTTACACAATTTGAAATACTTCAAATTCTTCTATATATAGATGATTGATTTCTCCGATATGTTTTTCATAAGAACATTGTTTACAGCAAATTCTTAATTGATTAAAAATATCTTTATATAAATACAAGTCATTATTAAATGATGGACCGATACTACATGATCCATTATATATAGCTTTCTTTTCCTCCTTTACACGACTTAAAATATAATTTCCAATATTATTATTATCAAAAGAGAATATAAAACTGTCTTTAGTACTTCCATAGGTACCATAGATAAATTTCCATACTATCGGATTATATCCTCCGAGAATTTTGTTGCTGTCTCTCACTTTACTAACCACTACCGTGCGAGATTTATTTTTACAAATTTCTCGGAATTTGTTAAAATTACTATTCAATTCACTAGGCCTATCACGAGAATCACGATATAATAATTTGAATTTGCACGAACTTGATAACTCGCCTGTTTTATTAATCCATTTTGAAATTAGTTCAACATGTTGATTTGAAATAATCACTGAATCAACGCTTTCTGAACTAAATTTTTCAGACGGCCTATAATTACTATTCAAAAAAAATTTTAATAATTCCACGTATAATTTCTTGGGTAGAATTTCTCTAAAAGGAAATATATTATGCAAAAATTCCTTTGAAGTCAAATTACGGAATCTGATATAAGGAATACATTGTTGTAAGGTATTCCTTAGGGTATCAAAATTATCTTTTGAAAGGCTTATAAGGTCAGAAGAAAGTTCCGGATTTTGAGCGAGTCCCCATTTAATCACATGCTCCCAAACTTGAATTTCGTTCATTTGAAAATTATCATTTTGAATAAGCGTAATTAAAAGTTTTTCTGAAATTGAAGGGAAATTTGGTGAATTAAATATCTTGTTTGGTTCTTTAGAAATTAAAACTTCACAATATTTTTGAAGTTCTAAGAAAGTATTATCTTCAAAACTTATTTGGTATATCAAATCAAAATTTTGTTCCAACCAATTTGCTTTATATTCAATTAAAAAAGATTCTAAATAGGATATTAATTCTTTAAGACTCAGTTCTTTGGCAGCGATCATAATTTTAACAATATCTGAAATATTATATTCTTCCAAAGAAATTTTTCCTCCATAAATATACCTAATAAATGATAATTAAGTTAAAATAAGATAAAAATATGAATATTATAATTAATTCTTTTTTATTTATATTTATTTATATACCTTAAGATAATTCCAAAAATTTCTGGAAAAATATTTGTTAATTTAATATTCGTTAAAGTTCCGTCATTTTTCTTTTTATTAGTTGATAACATTCTTCGTAAATATGGAGAGCGATAGTTTAAAATAACCATGTGAGCACGGAATACTTTTATATAGGGGTCATTACCAACTTCAATTGTAATATCATAATATTCTTCATCGTTTAAAATTTCAAGTAAATTTTGTGATAATTTTGGCAAGAGTTTATCACCAATCATATTGATTTTCAAATAAAAAAGAAATGAATGATGGGAAAAGTCGGTTTGAACATTATTTTATAGAGGCGTAACTTACACGTGATTTCATGTGTCACTGCATTTTGTCAAAAGAAATGATCATCTTTTAGGTTTCACGTAAATCTCTCCAAAAAAAAAAAAAAAAAAATNACGATAATTTAAAATAACCATGTGAGCACGGAAGACTTTTACGTAAGGGTCATTACCAACTTCAATAGTAATATCATAATATTCTTCATCATTTATTATTTCAATATATTATAAGTATACCAATATGCTTCCATCATAGTCACATGGTCCATATCACCGATACGAGCATCATAAAAAAAAAAAAAAAAAGTTTTATTAATATTATGTTCATTAATGTAAATCTCTATATATCAGTAAACGTGGCGGAAATGAGATACGGTAAAATTTTGCGTTAAATGAGTTTGTCTTTTACAGTGCATAATATCATAAAATAAAAACGAGACGTTATTTATTTTTTATCAATTTATTCAAAATTCATTCAATTGGATCAGTTAAACTAATTAAAAAATTTGTATTATTTTTTTTTAATTATATTTTCATCATAAATCATTTGTTATTTTTCTTTTTTTTTTTGAGGGAGGGAACTGTTTAACGACCCAGATTTTAACAACAATACAAATAAAATATGAATAAAAACAAATCACTATTTTATAGAGACAAATTACGAATAGTATTAAAAATATTACGGTTCCTTAAGATTTAAACGTTAATTTGAAATACTTCAAATTCTTCTATATATGAATGGTTGATTTCTCCGATCTTCTTTTTATAAGAACTCTTATTACACCCAATTCTTAATTCATTAATTAAATCTCTATATAATTCCAAGTCAACATCAAATGCTAGGCCAGTACTGCATGTTCCATTATATATAGCTTTCTCTTCATTCTTTACACGACTTAAAGTGTAATTTTCGATACTATCATTACTAAAAGAAAATATAAAACTATCTTTAGTAATTCCATAGCTATTGTCGAACTTCCATTCAATAGGATTATATCCTCCAAGAATTTCGTTGTTGCCTTTCACTTTACTAACTATAACTGTGCGAGATTGATTTTTACAAATCATTCGAAGTTTGTCAAATCTACTAATCAATTCACTAGACCCATCACGAGAATCGCGATATAATAATTTGAATTCGTATGAATTTTGTAACCTGTCTGCAATTTCTAATCTATCAATCCATTTTGAGATTAATTCAACATGTTGAAATGTAATTATTTTAGAATCAATATGAATCTCTTTATATTCTTTAGATATGCGAAGTACTGCTTTTTTACTATCATTATCCAAGAAATATTCTAGTAAACCTTTATATAACTCTTTTGGTAATATTTTCTTGTAAGGTAATACTTTCTTTAAAAACTCTTTTGAAGCTAAATTATGAAATCTAATAAATGGAATACATTGCTGTAATGTATTCTTTAAAGTATTGAAATCATCTTTTGAAAAGCTTGTAAGGTCAGAAGGAAGTTCCGGGTTTTGAGCGAGTCCCCATTTAATTACATATTCCCAAATTTGAATTTCACCCATTCGAAGATTATCATTTTGAATAAGCGTGATTAAAAGTTTTTCTGGAATTGTAGAGAAATTTGGCAAATTGAATATCTTATTTGGTTCTTTAGAAATTAAATCTTTACAGTGCTTCTGAAGTTTTGGGAAAGAATCATTTTCAAAACTTATATGATATATCAAATTAAAATTTTGGTCCATCCAATTTGCTTTATTTTCAATCAAAAACGATTCCAAATAGGGGATTAACTCTTGAAGATTTAGTTCATTAGCAGCGACCATGATTTTAACGATATCCAAAATATCATACTCTTCCAAAGAAATTTTTCCTCCATAGATATACCTATTTAAACAAAAAATAAGTTAAAAAAATTATTTGTTAAAATCAAAATACGAATAATATATTTTATTCTTTTATACCATAATATTATTTGAAAAATTTCAGGTGAAATATTTGGTAATTTAATATTTATCAACATTTCATCGGATTTCTTTTTATTAGTTGACAAAATTCTTCTCAAATATGGGGAACGATGAATTAAAATAATTACATGAGCACGAAATACTTTCACGTAAGGGTCATTACCAACTTCAATAGTAATATCATAATATTCTTCATCGTTTAAAATTTCAAGTAAATTTTGTGATAATTTTGGCAAAAGTTTATCACCGATCATTATAATTTTTAAATGAGAAGAGAGTTATGAGAATGAATCCAAAAAAATCTTAGTTTTAAACCTTATTTTATAGAGGTGTAACATACACGTGATTTCATGTATGCTCAATCAAGTTTCACAAAAGGAAATGATCATCTTTCGGATTTCACGTGAATTTGGTAAGAGAAAAAAAACCAATGGAAATAAACAATGAAAATGGTTTGGTAAAATTTTACGTTAACCGGTTTGATTATTTTCGTCACTTTTCATAGTAAAATAGAAATAATAATGCAAGTTCGTGACTTAAATTTTAAAATTTCTATTAATTATTATATTTCTCAAAAAAAAAAATAACGTCTAATTTTCTAATTTCCTTAACTTCAATCGGCTTTAAATAGGGTTATTTGAATGAATTTTGATTAATAAAAATAAATTACGCGAATTTTTTAAAAAAATTAACTTTTTTTGTAATATTTAAATAATAGTTTTTTTTATTGTATTAAAGGATTTAATTATAGTTTCTATCGCAGATCAAAACTCATTCAATTATTTGTTTATTTTTATTTTATCTTTATTTTATTTTTTACATTAGGCGATACAAATGTTATTTTGAATTAATATAAATACATTATACAACTTGAAATACTTCAAAAAATCATTGATTTCTCTGATATGTTTCTCAAAGAATATTTTTTGTTTTTACATTCAATTACTAATTCTCCGAAACCGCTAACGTATAAATTTAGGTCAACATTAAAAGATGGGCCGATACCTCATGATGTTCCACTAATAAAGATTACACGACTTAAGATGTAATTTTCAATATTATTACTAAAAAGGAACATAAAACTAGTTTAGTAATTCAAAACTACCATCAAATCCATTGAGATCGTTTTACCGATAGTCATTTCACAGTTTTGAAATTCTAATCCACTTATCCTAACCTTATCCTAGTAACCCTAACTCTAATCATAAATTCCCAGTCGGTGAGATGATTGTTGGCGAAACATTTGTCTGTGAATAAAGATGACAGCAGTTAAGCCCTTACCATGAAATGGCCCTGTCGGTGGAATTCGTCGGTGAAATAATTGTCGGTGAAATGAATGTATGCGAACCCATCTTTTTAGGTTTCACGTAAATCTCGGAAGCAAGGAAAAAAAAAAAGTTTATTAATATTTTGGTCATTAATGTAAGGCTTTTTTACGGCAGTAAACTTGGCGAAAATGAGATACAATTACATACCTTGTTATGGTAACAATAAGAAAATGTCCTGGTAGGATTTTGCGTCAAAAGGTTTTTTTTTTTGTCACTTTTCATAGCAAGTTATTGATTTAAATTTTTATTAATATTCAAAGCTCTCTCTAAAAAAAGTTGCCATTATTTATTTTTTATTAAATTCATTTAATTAAAATAATTAAAGAGAGTAATTTCTAATGAAGAATTTATTAATTTAATATATAGAAATTAATACAAAAAAGATATGAATGTAAATAAAATCATTATTTTATAGAGACAAATTACGAAAAACATACAAATCTTTAGGATTTAAACATCAATCTGAAATACTTCAAATTCTTCTACATATGAATAATTGATTTTTTCAATATTTTCTTCATAGGAATTTTTTTCACAACCAATTCTTAATTCATCAAAAATATCTCTGTATACATATAAGTCAGCATCAAATGATGGACCGAAATGATAATATGTTCCATTATATATCGCTTTCTTTTCATTCTTTACACGACTTAAAACATAATTTTCAATACTATTTTTAAAAAAGAATATAAAACTATCTTTAGTGATACCATAATTACCATCAAATTTCCATTCTATCGGATTATACCCTCCAAGAATTCCATTACTGTTTTTCACTTTAATAACTATTATAGTGTGAGATCGATTTTTGCAAATCTCTCGAAATTTATTAAAACTATTATTTTGTTTACCAGACCCATCACGAGATTCGCGATATAATAATTTGAATTTATTTGAAGTTGTTAACTCGTCTGTAATTTCTAATTTATTAACCCACTTTGATATCAATTCAACATGTTGATTTGAAATAATCACGGAATCAACGCCTTTTGAACTGGATTTATCAGACGGTCTATAATCACTATTCAAAAAAAATTTCAATAAATCTATATATAATCCTTTGGGCAGTATTTCTCTATGAGGAAATATATTATGCAAAAATTCTTTTGAAGTTAAATTTTGGAATCTAATATGAGGAATACATTGTTGTAAAGTATTTTTTAATGTGTTAATATCATCCTTCGAAAAGCTTGTATATTCAGGAGGAAGTTCTGGATTTTGTGCAAGTCCCCATTTTATCACATGTTCCCAAGTTCGAATTTCGCTCATTCGAAGATTATTATTTTGAATAGTCGCGATTAATAGTTTTTCTGAAATCGAAGAGAAATTTGGCGAATTAAATATTTTATTTGGCTCTTTGGAAATTAAATCAATACAACATTTCCGAATTTCTAAGAAAGAATCATTTTCATAGCTTATTTGATATATTAAATCAAAATGTTGTTCCACCCAATTTTCTTTATTTTCAAGTAAAAAGGATTCCAAAAAAGGTATTAATTCTTGAAGACTAAGCTCATTAACTGCAACCAAAATTTTGAGAATATCAAAAATATTATATTCTTCCAATGGAATTATTCCTCCATAAATATATCTAATTGAAAATGATAATTAATATTAGAAATTATTTACTAAAAATACATAAATTTTTAAAATTTTAAATTAACATATTTTTATTACCTTAAT